TGGGGGGCTGCCCGCCTGACCCCGGCTGCGTTTTCTATTAGCAACTCTTTCGATAAGGCGTTTTGTAATTTTGATTTATTCCCTGAAGTTGCCGAGGGGGAAACAGTGCCCACGTAACTAAATTGTGCATGGGGTAAATCAGGACAAAAGCAGCAGCAGGACACATAATAGGGGGAAAGATGCCATGCACGGGGTTTTATCCTCATGTGTCCTTCCTGACAATGAAAGGGAGCTGAATGACATTTGCATTTCCTCTGTGTGCGTTTTGATTGTATCTCTAAACCCACAGACGCCCCCTACAGAAAGCGGCCGCACGGAGGTTTCCCTCCGAGGCGGGGGGCGATGTGAGCCGGAAAATCCTGGCTCAGGTATCGCGCAGCCTCCTGCCTGTGCTGGGCATTTAAGTGTGTCCAAAATACAGTTTCTCTCCGGCACTTGGACTCGTATGTGGCTGCTCATGCTAGACTCGTCCTCTCGAGATAATGTATTCTGGTGCACCTGAGCATCGCTGGGAATGCGTTACAGAGTGATGAGCTCCGGCTAGGGAGTCCCCTAGGAGTGACGGGCAACTCCTTCTCTCAGCTCGCCTCTTTCTCTGCAGCTCTTGCTTTCCTCACCAGCTGAATGTCTTCTGGTGCTTTCACCCCTTTGCTCACCTCCCCTTTGCCTCCTCTCGCAGCCCGGTTGGTTTGACACGACTGCCCAGTTATTTCTGCCGTTTAGTACCTTTTTGTTTCCCAACATGGTGCTAAAGGCAAAAATCTTAGAACTTTCGCAGATCTGCAATGGAAGGGCAGCAGGTGTCTGGATAAACACATTCTTCTCAGTCTGTAAAAAAAAAAAAAAAAAAGGCAATATTCAGATACATCCAATGGGACATCAGTGGGTTTGAAATGCTGTTTTTTTTCTCCCCAGCAGCCTGTGTACGTATTTCCATAGTTTTACTTTCCATCTTTTTGGGTATCTTAATACAGAGGGACTTGAGCAATGCAGTGAAGGAAACAAATACAGTTTAAAAAAGTATTGTGAGTGACTTAAAATGTCAGTCAGAATTCTCAATGGACTTGTAAACATTAATTAATTAAACCTCTCAACATCCCCGTGGAGAAAGGATTATTGCCTTTGTTTTATGGATGGCTAAACTAAGAAAAAGTGGTTAGAAACTTTCTAATTCAAAGCCCAAGTCAAGAATTCAGCACTTTAACTTCCAGTCCTAACATTTAGTCCCATTTCCTCCATCTCTGCCTTATTAGTGATGTGCATATGGTACCATAATGCATTTAATGTAATTAAGATCTTGTAATTTACCAAGTCTTATCTAGCAGAAAAGCTGATTCCCCCACTCCTTCTCCATCTTTACTCCCGCAGCTGACTTTTATTTCAGGTTGTCAATTAAACACACTAACTGGAACATATGTTAGGCTGTTGCCTTTTTTTTGCACGTGAGATTCCCTTGCGTTGCAGCTCTGCCTGAACATTTGCAAGTGAAGCTGTTGCCTTCAAGTAGTTTGGCCTCTGCGTAGCAGTGCTGGTGTTTTCCATTTCTTTTGCCTAAAACTGTGCCTGCCACAAAAGGGCATACTCAGTGACCTAGGCTAAGTTGCTTATTTCTGCTGATGTTGTTGGGCAACTTTGGTGTGGTTGGGAACTCTTATTCCCAGCCAGGTGTTTGGGGACCAGATCAATGTAATCTTGTGCACACAATGCCAGACCCTTGCAAACCTTGCCAGGCCTGTTCCCTGTCTGCAGTGCTTCCCCTGCAAACACTCTGCAGTACTCGATGTCCCTCTTGCTTCAAGCCAGGCTGGTGCTCAGGTTTCCGCATCCCGTTGTCCTTCTTTGAATCAACCCTGAGTTACGACGAAGTGCTAATGAAAACTGTTTTCTTTTCTTTTTTTTTCTTTTTGGATGCTGCAGCGTAAGTGTCTCGTTGCTGATTTTTAATGTCAAAGTGGACCATGCGCAATGCCTCTTCCAGCAGGTGGAAGCAATAAAATAGATGCCAGCCCAGTGCTTACAAGTAATGCAAAGGTGATTTTAATGTGGCTTTGCAAATTCCCTTCTGTTTAATAGAGTTGTTGAACTTGTCTAGTCACTTACCAAAATTTCTGTGAAGTGTCCAGTGTGCAGTTGAAATCACTTAAAAATATAAATGAACTGAAGTGTGACACATTTCAGACCAAAACTACTGTCAATGGGGCAACTCATTTCTTCTATACCCCCCCAAGAGCCTTCAGAGAAAATGTTGCATGAATATTGTTTTATGTATACAGGGAAACATGGGCGTAAATCCCAAAGCTGTCTGGGGGGGAAGCCAAGATATGAAGACCTGAGGATATGCTGGTTTGGATAGGGGAGTGTCTGATATGTTGCTAGTTGCAGTGTTTTGTCTAGGTGCATCAGTAACTTGTGCATGATTAGCTGTTGTAGTGCTTTTGTAATCTTGTTTTGTTGGTGCTTTAGCCTTTCACAGTCCGTCTGGTTGTATGGATGGATGGAGCTTGTGTTATAAAGATGTCACTGAAAAAAAGGATTTTCAAACGTGTTATTTATGGTGTGTGAAAGTAATATTGAGCTAACTCAGATGGGATATAAGGTGACTACAAAAGTCCAAAGATCCAATCTTTTTGGGGGTGGAATAATTTCAAGGCAAGTACATATCCAGTGGACTGGGATCCTAATGTCGCAGTGTCAGATGGGAGTAATTTACCCAGAGCATGCAGAAGTCCGGAACGCAACGTGGAACATGGTATGTTTGCAGTAGGAGTCATGGTGAACAGTGGTACAGGCAACGTGGCTCAGCCCCTGTGCAGCCTGCTTTCTTAAAAGCAGAAGTATTGTGTTCTGAGGTTGCTCTAAACCCCAGACTTTGTCCAGCTTGTGCACCTGCTTCTTGCAATTCGTGACAGTTGGCCATTCCTCTGGTATCCAGAAATGAGGTATCCCAAGGTGTCCATTGTCTGGGAATAACATGTTTTTTAGAATTGCCTTTTGCTCAGGCTGGTGTTTTCTTACTCTGGATTGTCTTTCATGTCAGAGCTGAATTTCTTTGCTTGGTAGATCAATTTTACTGTCTTGGTGTTTATTCTGGGCTCATCACTGTGTTGTCTCTATGTGATGTTGCCTTGAGCGAGAACCATCCCTCATTGTTTATCCCCAAGGACTTGCAGGAGGAGAATGAATCTGCTTTGGAAGCTGAGTTTTTTTTTTCCCTCGGACAGACAGACCTCTGATCTGAGGAGTCCCTGGTCCGGGTGACATCCTCCCATGCGCAGAGAAGCGGCACCAAGGCAACGTTGCTCGAGGCCTCTTCTGAGCGCTCCGTTAGGGCTGTGCAGCTCTTTTGTCTTTGCCTCCAAGTTTTGCCCAGCATGTACAGACTCGGCTGTGTTAATTGCTTCTTTAGCATAGGTCTCAATCTTTGCTTTTTTGTTTCTTTCAGGGAAAGCAATCTCACCAAACATTGTCTAGTAGAAAGCATACTTTCAAATCTTGTCCTAATTTTTTAACATTTTTTATCAGGTAACTGCTCTTTTTTTTTAAGATTTCTGTATAGTTTGTGAAGCAAACCCAATTACACTGGACTAGTGTGTGAAAAGCAGAAAGTGATTTTCCTTTCAGAAGAAAAGAGAAACTGTCTAAAATGAGTGATATGCAACATAAACAAACAGTATAAGTGAGTGCTTGAATACTGAACATTTACAGTTCTTGTTTTTTCTATAGTAGCCAAAACTTTTAGAAAGGACACATCCTTTAGTTGTTTGATT